GCTTGTATGAGGAAACGTAATGTTGATGTAAAAATATATTTTGAGATTATTTTGGTTTAAATATGAGTTGTAATTTAGTAAGACTTTATATATATCTTACTTTCATTTCATAGATCAGTTACAAATGAAAGAAATTTGGCGGTGATTGTGGAGAGAATTTATATTGTGGTTGATCATCGGTTGTGTAAAATAATCAACTTTAATTTAGCAAGTAGATTTATTTTAGTCAATTGAGAATAATTGATAAAATTTACTCTACACAAGCTATTTATTTAAGTAATCTTTATATCAAAGTATTTTATTAGTCTATTTAAAGTTAAACGTGTATGTATTTAATCTTCCAAGAAATGAAAATGAATGGCATGCACATTTAGGCATTCGAAAATGAAATTGAATGAACTTAAGACATGCCATTTGTATATATAGGTCAATATTGATTTGTATATAATAGCCTGCACAGGTTGGGTAACAAAGGTGAGCCCATATGGAGATAGAAGCATCCGCAAACTAATATGTATATGATAACTTGTATTGATAGGGGTTGTCGTGTTCGATTGATAGGGTCTGTTGTAGTGTTACATAATAGGCATCAATGTAAGAGATGATGACCGCTGAACATATAAATGACAGTTATCAGCAATAAGCTTGAATATCTGTAAGGAATACAATTATCAAGTGTCTAATCATTTAATGCACTATGTAAGTCGGATGCTAGTAGCATGGTACTTATTTTACTTTCATTTTTGTTCTCATTATTATTATATCATGTTAGGAGTATCTTATAATATGTTTCTAGGTATTGGTACATTTTGATGTCATATGACCTCACCTAGCCCATCGGCCAAATGCCAATTATCATCATTGTCAAGGGTTGGACTTGCTCCAAGATAATAGTTATGGAATAACCTCTTGATAGAGTTTGGACTATTCAATCATTGTTGTTATCAAGAGTTGGGACTTCGTTTTTTGTCTCTACTTAGCCTCATATTAAAAGAATTCTACACAAACATAATTAACTAACTTGTTCCAAATAATTTGATCTTTCATACATTTTTTTTTGTAGCAGTAATATTGTATGCAATTGAAATATACTTGGCATTTTTTTTTTACATGCTATCATTTACATTTATCAGTCTGTTACTAAGCATAAATATGTGTTGATCTCTGTATATATCATGCAACCAATTCAAGAAAAATATGCTGAGAGCAATGGCCAACCAATGCTCATCGTGCAAACCGAGCTTGAAACACCTCAATTGCAGTTGAATTGCTCAAAAGACAATCTGAACATTGAAATCACTAAAGAAAGTACCTCCCACGATCAATTCGATCAATCTCGGCCAAAACATCGAACACCGGACACAACTTCATTCAAAAGTCAATTGAACGTTGTTCGTTCACTAAACGGATTGTGTCGATGTGTCTGGAGCATCAAAACTACTGAAAAGGAGATCAATATTAGCTTGCACATGAAACGCCCATAACATTGAAATCCACTTCTCAAAATTTAAGCATAAAACTTTCATGTGCACGAGATGACAAGCTTGTTGATGGATCAAAATACATATTAATTATTATTATTATTATCATAAAAAAACCCATTTACAAATTTCACAAATCCCATATAGTAACGTTGCAGCTCCATCTCATTTTTTATCTCGTCGGTCCCACCTGATTCAATAAAATAAGCGATAAAAAAAACTAAGGCTAACCATACCAGCCCAAGCTTCTCTTCTCCCTCTACCTCTCATTTCCTTAGTGATTGGAATGCCTCACGAACCCCTCTCCTATCAGTGATTGCTTAACAGTCTGGATCAATTTGTAGACTATGAGCTCCCCTATCTGTGCTAAGAAGTGTACTAGTTCATTGTGTAGACACATCAAAAAGCACTCAAGTGAATATTGTAAAATATACAACTACAGTGTATAAATGCATTGAAAGCATACATGCACTGAAAAATGTGAGAGCATCATATAAGAACACAAAAAATGTGCCAACAAACAGTGCAAATACATCACAAAGTATACAAGTGTATTTTGCGAATGCATTAGAAATATAAAATGCATTGAAAACATGCACAACATATCAAATTATCGAAATCAAATTACCTGCTTCAGCTCCAACAAATGTATCAAAATTTTAAATTCAAGGGTTGAGAATGCTTCTCTATCTAAACTAAAAATAAGCTTATGTTTTACTCATCTCAAAAAGTGTGCAAGTGAAATGTGCTAAGTGCTTAAAAAATCATCCGTACGAGCTTCAAAGAACATGCAAGTTCGTTATGCAAATGGGCTGAGAAATGTGCAAGTGTGTTTATGCATCTACATCGAAAAATATGCATGAGAACTTTAGTCATATATGCATGTGTAGTTTGATAAGTTAGGGTCGTAACTCCCTTATTTTAACTTCAATTTTCTTCCTTCCAGTGACTATTTGAATCTTGCACCAAGCGTTTATACAATAAATCTAAAATGACAAGATGTTTTCTTTACGCTTACCTAAGGCTTCAAATGCCTCAAAAACAATGTAAATCTATCTTTATACTTCAAACCCATAGAAGTCCTTAGCTTGTCAAATTAACCAAACTAGATTCGTTGATGGGAACGCTAAAAATCAGATGTTATGAAAAAAACAAGCTGTCCTTTTTCCTGATCGTTTGCTGGAGTTAGGGAATGGGAAATTGAATAAATTTTTTTAATAATGCTTAGATAAATATTTATGTAAGTAGCTATATATGCATACTGATATCTTATAAAACTGTCTCAACTGTTCCTAAAACATCAATCGATGAATGATAACATAAGCAAAATTGGTATTTGCCAACTACATGACAACAATTTTGTAGTAAGATTAAGATAAAAAGCTTCTCTTAGCCCCTCGACTATTCGTATGTGGTCAATCTAATATGAGAATGTCACATTTTCTAGTTTAGTCACTTAAATATACAATTTAGTCCCAAATAACCCATCATGTAGAAACTGATAGAATTTGTGATACAAAATTAATCCCATATGGATCCTCATGTATAAATTAATGGAATTTGTGAATTGATCCCAATTTAATTCTTGAGGAACTATTTTGGATTAATTTTCTATCAAGGGATTAAATTGGAGAAATATGAATTTTTGTGACTAAATTGGCGATATTGAAATAATCAGGGGACTATATTAGGCCTCTCTTGTAAGCTTAATATACGAGTTGTAATATTAAGGCTTCGTTTGATTCGGTTTATGCTTACATAAAAAGGAGTTTTAGAAAAGGAGGTTGAGAAAAAGACGTTCAATAAAATGGAGTTTCAATAATGAGATATGTTTGACTAATATTTTTTAAAAGTGCTTATTAATACTTGAAAGTAATTTTAAATTGTTTGTTTAGGAGTTCTGCTTTTGAGATTTTATTATAAAAGACATAATTCGCTTCCGAAACTCCGTTTTGTGACCGAAGAAGCAGATACGAAAAGAATTTTGTAACCGCCGAAAAAACGATGTTTATTAAAAAGGAATTATTGTTAAGCTTTGATTCCAAACAGTAAATACTAATTGATTTCGGCGTATTCAAACGGAAACGGAGAAAAAAAGCCTAATCAAACGAGGCCTAAGTTTGACTTCAGGCTTAAAAATCAAAATGCTTATTTCTTTATTAAGGGCAATATACATTTAAATGATTGAAAAAAAACATGAAATTTTATAAAAATCTATTTTCTCATTTTGGTGATGTGCAAAGTGCAAACATTAGGGTTTAAATTTTGATCTCACCTTTGCATATTCTTGAGTATCACAATCAATATCATGAATAATGATATTGATATTCTAGTATCATTTTAGTTGATTTTGACAACTTTAATTTGTCAAATTTGACACTGCACAGAAATCACCACAGAAATCATCTACAATCATGCTCTCTTGAGGAATTACAAGTTACAATCCCAAAAAGGGGATTTATTGGAAAGAAATTAAGAATTGCCCAAAGGGAGCACCTTTGGAAATATAGCAACTGAATTCCCACTCGCAATTATTGAAATAGGATAATAATTGTTAGACCGGCCCATCCTGGGCCGGCTGGACCGGTCCAACAGGGACCGGTTCAATTCTATTCCAGGCGGAGAATAGCAGGGGGAGCGGAACCGTGAGGTTCCGCGTGGGCCTTTGGGGGGGAGTTTAGGAGGGAAAATTTGAACGTGAGAGGCTGTTTTAGGAAGTTTATGATTGTCCTTTATGATTAATTTTGTATAATTAAGAGTTTGGGGGGAATTAGCTCCTCATCTTGAATTTGAATCATTTTTGAGATCTAGGGTTTGTGTTCTTGGGCTCTAGGCTACGGCTAGAGATTTGGAGAGTTTTTCCTTCCTCTCGAATTGAAGGAAAGTTGTATCTTGCAAGTGCTTTTCATCCCTTATTAAAATAAAAGTGTTTGCCTTGTTTTTCTTACGTTTTCTCCTTCGTTTTCTCTCCGATTCCACTGTTTTTGGCTGTTTCCCTGTGTGGACAGCAGTTTTCATCCTAGATCTATTGGGTTTTGGTGAGAAACACTTGGAAATCCAAGTGTTTCTTATCAATAACATCCTAGGTATTTAAGTACAAATGGCCACTGACTCATCTAAAACTTATATTATAAAACTCAAAATTCAAAAATTATGTTTAAAGTTTAAGCATGCAAAAGATTAAGGCTTCATTTGGGAAAACTTTCTTCCTCTTTTTAAAACAACTTTCTAGTACAAAAGTTTTTAGTTCAAAAAATTTTTACACTAAAAAGTTGTTTTAGAAAGCAATAAAAAAGTTGTTACAAACAAAGTCTAAATTTCAACTGATCTTTGTAATTTATACACTTTGTATTTTTAATGAATGTAATTTTCAGATTCCATCAACTGTGAATCATTATCTATAGGCCTGCATAGGATTCCTAGTTTCATTATTTTTTTTCTTGCATTTGTTATTCTGATACTCTGTTTTCTTGATAAGAATTTGTAAATGACACTTCTCTTTGTGTATGTTATTGTCAGGATAACACTTCTGCCCTCTCTGAAATTTTTGTTGGAGAAATGGCTATTTCTAGTTCATCTGAAAGTAGCAAACAGGGGCAGCGACAACGTGCTCTTTTGATCTTACACCAGATGATTGATGATGCTCATAAAGGAAAGCGACAGTTTTTGAGTGGTATGCCGTATATTATTATTATTATTTTGTTTAAGATAAATTGTGCTTCTGCACATGTATATCCATTTGTCATATGTCATGCATTTTTTATTATTTAGGAAAGCTTCATAATCTGGCAAGAGCTGTTGTGGATGAAGATTCAGATGGTAATTTCTTGAGAGCTGAGGGCTTATATCCTGAAAAAAAAATGTCAAATTCAGAAAAGGGTGCTGTTCTTGGGCTTGGCCTTAAAGTTTTCAAGTTTGGAGCTTCCAGTACGCCAACCATTGAGAATAATAGTGAGCTCACTAGTTATGATATAAAAGATGCTGGTAAAAGGTTCTATGGTGCCTTATCCTCAAAGCCACCCACTTATCTTTCATCATTTATAATCTATATAGCAACAATCGGCGACATAGTTGATGGAATTGACACAACTCATGATTTCAACTTTTTCTCACTTGTTTATGAGTGGCCAAAAGATGTAAGACCTTCACCTGCATGCGTTTTTTAATTCAATGTTGGTGGCAAGCCCTCCATTTCATTTTGTTATCTATTTTATTTTGAAAGTGCTGATAACCAGACAACTAAATGAACCACCTATTCAATTTGGTTAGAAAATAAAAAAGATAAAAGGAACAGGTAGCCACATTATCATACTTTCTTTTATAGAATTTCATAGGGAGTATTTATAATTTAAGTAATCTATTGCTGCTTTTGTTAATGTTATCTATTTTTTTGTTTCCAAATGCTATATCAACCAAGCATGTAATGTTTAACATCTACTGAAAAAAATGATTTGGTCTTGCTTAATATTGGTTGGCATTTATTTAATGTTATTCTTCACATCTCTTATGATAATTGCTGCACATTAAACCATGACCTGCTTCCTAATTTGGGACATCTTAATACTTACCTCCCAAATCTTGGCTATTTTTGAAACTAGCACCCTCCGGCCTCCCTAATATTTATTACTGCAACATGTATGGTTCGTTGCTGTAAATGTCTAAAAAAATTATATTACGTATTGGTTTACTGTTATTCATTCTTTTTATCTAGATGGCAATATTTTTTGAATATTAGTGCAATCTATCATTTGTACTTTGGTTTAGTATTGTTGATTCTAAATATAAGAGTGCTATCGATAATGATCAGCATTGATTCAGGTCTTGCACATTTTTTTTCCTTTTTTTTACCTCAAATATTATAGCTGTTGAGATGTTAGCTATCGATAATCTCCTACAGTGTTTGAGAGGCTTGCCAATCAAACAAGTGGCATTACTTATTAAGTTAACAAGACTTTCAAGATATTATTGAACTAAACAACCCCTTACCATTTTTATTTTATTATTTGGTATTTACCCTACTTGTTGTTCACCATTCATCCTGTCAAGAGTTGCTTTTGTTGTAAACTGTGGTTGATTGAACCTTTAGGGAAACATCCAGAACTGTAGGTTTTGACCATCGTTTAAAAAATGTTTGAGGTGTGCGTCTTAGGGCGCCTGATGCGACCAAGAAATATAGGGGACCCTATATCTCTTGATCACAAAGGACACGACGGACTTCTACGGACGAAAACGACTAAAAACGAGAATTAAGACGAACAAACTCTTACATTTCAAATTAAAGAAACAAAATGAAATTAAAAACACAAACTCGACTCGATCTCAAAGACACCCTAAAATTGCTGCACTTAGAGAAGAGGGATACAGGTGGAGTGGCACTTGCGGAGAGACGAAAGAGATTAGAAGCCCGAGAAGAAAGGTTGGAAAGAGCCCGCAGGATTTCCGGAGGGGATGAGAAAGAAGGGTGGAAAGAGCCCGCAGGATTTCCAAACAAACCCGCAGGTTTAGATTTTCTCCAAAAATCAAATTTCATTCACTAACTTCAAACATTACATAACCCCTCATATTTATAGGTATGAAAGGGGTATACAAAAGGACACTTACATAAATTTAACACTTAATTCAAAGCATAAAACATAGAAATCTCCCCCCCAAGCTCACGGTTTAACACCCAAACCAGGAACCAAGGAGACAGCCACGGGAGACGAAGGAACCG